CTAAAAAAAAAAAAAAAAAAAAAAAAAAAAAAAAAAACACAAGTGCGTTAAGCTGTTACACGAATCTAGAAGCGCGAAGGAAATAAAGTATCTCGACTTAGGATGCGCAGGGGAGGAGAAGTTTGGCACTCTTAGCTTCTATTAGTTTTGCAAATTTACAACGGAAAGCAATATCCTCTTAATTTTTCTCGTACTATCTAGGACACGGTGACTTGTTAAAAGAGTAAACTGGCAGGAATTCGTTCTGCGGAGTGAAGGGGAAAAGAGAGGGTTTGCTGCACAACGTATCTTAAATACCTGTTAAAGAATTAAATTAAGAAAACGCGAAAGGTCGCTGAATTAATTCCCGACAAAGAAATTCGTCCGCAGAAGGAATTCCTATCTCCTTTGATTCGCTTATTTTTTTTCTTTTTTTTTTTTTTACGGAAAGACATTCCGTGACCACATCTACTCTAGGTGCACGGCACGCGCTATCGTTCTATCGTAATAACTACATCCCGATGAACTTTCTTTTCCCTCCACGCTCATCGCATTATTGCAGACACACGTACAGGCACACGCATATATACACGCACACCTTGCCCGTCGAGTAGCGAGCTTACCATTAAGATCTTAGCTGTATGCGTGCGAGCAATAGCGACGGCCCATCTTACTCGTAGAAGGGAGGTCCGAAAGACGCGGTTGAAAGGAAACTGGTGTAAGTTTATAATGAAATCGATTAGACGCATTCAGTGCGCACTGATGCACATTAAAACTGTTGTATATAGATTAACGTAAAGGTACGTGTTTAACTCTGGAACATACACCACAGGACCCAAACGAAACTTTACTTGCTTCGAGGAAGAGAAAAAGAAGAATTCTGTTCTAATGTAATATAAAACTTTCGGGCATTGCAATCTATGCAGGTATTCTAAATCATCATTCCTAAATCTCAGAGAGCTTCAAAATAAAAAAGGAAGAAAGATATTAATCAAAAATCTAAATCAAAGTTACATCCTATTAAGGTTACAGTGGATTTGAAAGATCTATTGTAACTTTGACAGGTGTGTTTTTTCCGAATTTTTTTGAAAGGTGTGTGTTCTAGGGGTTAATATAAATATAGAAATGCGAGTTAAACCGCGAAATCATCAATACACTTTATTGTGCCCCGTTAGATAAAGTGTGTATTTTATAATTCGAAACTTTTGCATTTCACTTTTATACTCGAATTCAATCAGTGTACAACGGCCTTAATGTACACCAACGCACACCAGTGCGTCCAACCGAATTTCCTATTAGAACCGATAATCAAATGAGATCCGAAAGGTGGGAATTAATTGTTTCGTTGGCCAAAAGTCGAAAAAAAAAAGGGTAAGTTAGCACTTCTCCGAGCACTCTTTCGATGGTCGTGATACATATTGAAAATCTTTGATACATGCAAATATATTTCTCAGATACGTACCGTTTTAAAACGCATCGCGAGAGGATTTTGACTATGGATTATTGAATTTTTTAAATATCCGCATATCTTGGACGCGATCCGAGACCCAAAGAGACGCGGAGAAGAAGCAGAACTTTATTCGTCAATTAATCGGATGTTCCCTTGGTGAGAGTATTCTCGCGCAAGCTTATCCATCGAGGAAATGAATATTAAAGGATAATGAATATTAAAGGACAAACGGAGCTTTTCCATTTAGCCTTCGTTTTCGCTAAGGTAAAATCGATTTCACATTCTCTCACGAATAAAGTCCTGCTGCAAGCGCCTACGCTTGCTTGTAGTGCAAACGAATTAAAGTAATAAAAAAGAAAAAAGAAAAGAAAAGAAAAACGAATACTCGACACGTTCGGAGCTCGAAGGGGGTGATAAAGCCTCGAAATTTCGTGTCCTCCTTGAGGATGAACCTGAAGTAAATGCAGTAAGAGAATGCGCAAGATGGTTCACGTTCAACTGATAAAACGCCGAAACCTAAATGAAAGACAATTGACTGATCGGATCGTCGTTAAGTTCCGCAACGCGATCCGATAATTTGTTTGCATTAGTCACGTATAAAAAGAAATAAAAAGATTGTAATTAGCGGGCGCGTAATCGGAGCAGCCACAACTTTCTCCGCGAGAACTTGATTTAACAAGAAAAAAAAAAAAACGTCGATGTTATACGTGTTGATATCAGTCTATACATATATATAAAACAAATAAAGATATATATAATAAACAGAGATATATATTAATGAGGAAG